TCCTGGCATTTTTTGATGTCCGCCGTCTTGCTTTGCAGAACCTGGAAGAGTGGTTCTGTGAGGCCGAAAATGGACCTGAAAGACCCCGAGCAGGAAGGTGAAGTCAAAATCCTCAAGTTTTTGCTTCAAGGAAGCACTCTGTGCAATGGTCTCTTTGTCCCATCCCGGCTCTGTCATTATCCTGTCAAAAGCGATACAGAGCGACCCGCGTCCTTCATGGATGGCGTGTACTGCGCGGCTTTTAAAATTCCACCTCACAGCAGAACCCCCTGGTACACGCACAGCTCGATCAACTTCAGACAGTAGTGCTGATCTCTTACATGAACGTGAGAAAAAATTGTGGAAGGCATCGAGATTGGCAAAAAACAGTTTGGCTGCTTGGATGTTGTTTGTGCCTTGTGCTAAAACCAAATTTAATTTGTGAGCATAGCAGTGGATGAATAGCGCATTGGGGCAGTGTGCTTTCACTAAAGCCTGAACGCCACCGTGCTGTCCACTCATGCAGCTTGCTCCGTCATAAGTCTGACAAATCAGTTTGTTTGTTTGTTGGGCTGTAGTTCCCGATGGCTCTCATGACAACTGATGTTACAGCTTTTGCATCTCTTTCTAAGCTGACGTAAAAAAAGCCGAGGAAACGTTCACACACACTGCCTTTTTCATTCACATATCTGATTATGATAGTGAGTTGGCACTTATTGGAGATGTCTGATGTGTCATCCACTTGTACAGCAATGAAAGGAGAAATGTGTATTTCTTTATCAGTCTCATCCTGGATACAACGAGCTATGCTCTCAATTATGTCATTTTGTATGGTGTTTGACATACCACTGAAGACTGTTGACGATCCCAAGTGCTCCGCGAGTGCAGTGTCAAACTCTGCAAATGCACGTACCAGCTCTACAAAATTGCCCCTGTTAGAGCTGCCAGCGGCCTCATTGTGTCCCCTGAATGCTTGCTCTTGACGTGCAAGGTACAGGGCAGCAATGATGAGTTTCCTCAGAATATCCCGGTTCTTTTTTACTTGTTCGTTGTGCTTCTTTGTGCTAATGGTTCTTGCTACATCCAGAGCCTCGTCAATCCTGACGCGTCCAAAAAGCTTTAATTTCACAGCACAATCTATATGATTTTTTAGATTTACCGTGCCTCTCAATTGCCCGTGACAGGTTGGCAAGGTCGATGAATCCTGAAGTTGCCCAAGGATTGTTCAGGGAGCACGAACCCTTGTCAAAAAGAAGACATGGCCAGCAAAATAGACGCTGAAGTTTAGCGCTTCCAGTTAGCCACTCCGTGCGGACATAATTGTCCTCATTGAACGTCCGATTAGATCCCTTATTCCTCTGTGTACACAGCTCGAGTGTGGGCGTTGTCCTGCCATCTGCTTTAATTTTTAGTTGCTGCTGTAGCGGAAGTTTAGTGAAGTTATGCTTAATTAAGTACGCCAAATCTCCTCCCTCCATAATGCTTCATTTGCTTGATCATTTCTAACGGCGGTGATGACAGTTACAGTATTCAAATTGATGTTGATGTGATTGGATGGCAGTGTCCAATCAAATCGCCAGCCGCCAGCCGCCCCTGAAGGGAAGCTAGAGGCGGCTGGCTTCCCCTGGCATGGCCCTGACCAATCACAGGTTGGCAGGGGCATCACGTGGGCCTCATCTGATTGGTTAATCCCTCAATTTTTTTTCACCAAGGGAAACTAGATTCTGCTGGCCTCCTCTCGCAACAGTGAATGCAATCTACTGTTTCACCATGACATCTAGAGGGGCGCTGTTTCACTCTTTGTAAAATACTCAATGAGAATGGGGGAGAGACGGAGAGACGGTCCGGCAGGAACACACAGGAAAGTAGAATTACAGAAACAAAACAAAGTGTTTTTATTTATTTATTTAAGTTATAACTACAATCCGAAAAAACAGGGGAAGCCTGGCTTCCCTTGGCCTCCGGGAGAAAACGCCACTGGTTAGCAGCTTTAGTGGAGGAGCTGAAGAAGACTGGACCCCCAGCTGCTCCTGCTGATCTCTGCTATGCTGGAGCTGAAGATGTGGCCTGTGATGTCTGCACTGGGAGGAAGCTGAGAGCCTGTAAGTCCTGCCTCGTGTGTCTTATATCTTACTGTGAGAAACACCTCCAGCCTCATTATGACGTAGCTCAATTAAAGAAACACAAGCTGGTGGAGCCCTCCAAGAAGCTCCAGGAGAACATCTGCTCTCGTCACAACAAAGCGAGGAAGCTGTTCTGCCGCACTGATCAGCAGAGTATCTGTTATCTCTGCTCTGTGGACGAACACAAAGGCCACGACACGGTGTCAGCTGCAGCAGAGAGGACTGAGAGGCAGAGAGAGCTGGAGGGGAGTCGACTAAACATCCAGCAGAGGATCCAGGACGGAGAGAAGGAGGTGAAGCTGCTTCAGCACGAGGTGGAGGCCATCAACGGCTCTGCTGATAAAGCAGTGGAGGACAGTGAGAAGACGTTCACTGAGCTGATCCGTCTCATGGAGAAGAGAAGCTCTGATGTGAAGCAGCAGGTCAGATCCCAGCAGGAGAGAGAAGTGAGTCGAGTCAGAGAGCTCCAGGAGAAGCTGGAGCAGGAGATCTCTGAGCTGAAGAGGAGAGACGCTGAGCTGAAGCTGCTGTCTCACACAGAGGATCACAACCAGTTTCTGCTCAGCTACCCCTCACTGCCAGCCCTCAGTGAACCTACACACTCCTCCAGCATCTACATCCGTCCTCTGAGCTACTTTGAGGACGTGACGGCGGCCCTGTCAGCACTCAGAGACAAACTACAGGACGTCCTGAGAGAGGAATGGACAAACGTCTCATCGACTGAAGTGGATGTTTTACTGTCAGCAGCAGAGCCCACCACCAGAGCTGGGTTCTTAAAATATTCACAGGAAGTCACTCTGGATCCAAACACAGCAGAGACACATCTGTTATTATCTGAGGGGAGCAGAAAAGCAACATTCATGAAACAACCACAGTCTTATTCCAGTCACCCAGACAGATTCACTGATTATAAGCAGGTCCTGAGTAGAGAGAGTCTGACTGGACGTTGTTACTGGGAGGTGGAGTGGAGAGGGGGGAGAGTTTATGTAGCAGTCACATACAAGAATATCAGCAGAGCAGGGGATGAATGTCGATTTGGACTCAATGACAAATCTTGGTCCTTAGATTGTAACCAAAACAGTTATTCATTTCGTTACAACAGTAAATGCACCAACGTCTCAGGTCCTCAGTCCTCCAGAGTAGGAGTGTACCTGGATCACAGAGCAGGTATTCTATCCTTCTACAGCAGCGTCTCTAACACCACGACTCTCCTCCACAGAATGCAGACCACATTCACTCAGCCGCTACATGCTGGAGTTTGGCTTTGTTGTGTAGGAACCACTGCTGAGTTGTGTAAACTGAAATAGCCGGAAGTCATTTGAGGACGTTTTCTACCCTTGAGCCCAAAAAAAAAAATTACTTATAGTGAAAACCCAACCCAGTCTCACGTCATTTCGTGTTATAGTCACGACATTTAATCTATTGATTCGTGTTCACCAACACGATTTTCCCCTTTTTTTCGTGTCACACAGAACGATTTTAAAAGCAATGTATTTCTATTGGCAGTATGTTTCGTGCCTGCAGCACGTCTTTTTGTCCGTTCGAGTCTTGGAAGACCGGAAGCTGTGGCGTTCATAAAAACATGTTCTTACTCAATATCAAGCCACGATTATTGTTTTTATTTTAAAATCGTATAATGTCGGACTTTTTTTGTCGTCTGTGAGGAAAATAAATGGGGCTCAGAGCCTCAGGATACTGAAATCTATATTTTTAATCTTTTTTTCCTTCTAATTTGTTATTCTTTTCTAAATAACACACTGTTATTTACTCACCAATAATACTTAATCATCCTTGTTTTTATTTATTTGTTTGATTCCATAATCTCGGGCTTTCAGTTTCCGTCAGGAACTGAATTTCAAAATAAAAATAACCGGAAACAGACGTAGGCCGATAAGGGACATTTCGAGCATCATTGTGATACACAGCCACTGAACTGATTACCCAAGATCCTCAGCTATGGTTTAAGCTCGCTGATTGGATGTTTTAGCCGCAATGCATGTAGGGATATGGTGTTAATGCCATATCAAATCCGAAAAACATTTCTGAGTGTAGGATGGCCGAAGACACTACACTACCCATAATCCCCAGCTATCGTTTAGGACTACTGTCCCCGTGATTAATCTTCAAGCTCTGGGATTGGATGTTGGAGTGGCAGGGCGCCAAGGTTACCCCGAGCGTCAAACAGCTGTTTGAAATGGAAGGAAACCACGCCAGACTATCTAAAACTGAAATCGAACGCCCCCCCCCCCAGAACTACACATGCTGGCTATTGTGTTTCGCAAAATGTTCTATGGGACGTCTCTACTGAACGTTTTCGTTTTTCCCACAATTAGAAGTTGCCAGTATTAAACACATTGGTGTTATCAAATGTAAAACATATAATTAATAAATGGGTGAAAATCGCTTGTGTCAATAATGCGAAGCATTAATATATACCGACATGACAGCTCATTGTTACTTTGTAATTCTACTCCGCTACAATTCAGAGGTTAACTGAGGAACTGCACACTGCTAAAGCAGCCTCCCTCTCCTCTGTCATCATCCTTCTGGACCTGTCTGTTGCATTCGACACAGTGAATCATCAGATCCTCCTTCGCACTCTCCAAGAACTTGGAGTTTCAGGCTCTGCACTTTCCCTCCTCACCTCATACCTCAAAGACCGTACCTACAGGGTTACTTGGAGAGGGTCGGAGTCCGACCCTTGTCAATTAACTACAGGGGTCCCTCAGGGCTCTGTTCTCGGTCCCCTCCTCTTCTCCCTGTACACAAACTCGGTCGGATCTGTCATTAGAACGCATGGTTTTTCATACCACTGCTACGCTGACGACACCCAACTAATTCTGTCCTTTCCCCGCTCAGAGACCCAGGTCGTCGCACGCATCTCAGTAGATGTCTGCTCACCACCTCAAGCTCAACCTTGACAAGACTGAACTGCTTTTCCTTCCGGGAAAAGATTGTCCCACTCTTGACCTAACAATCAACATCGGCACCTCTATTGTTTCCCCGACTCAGACTGCAAGGAATCTGGGTGTGATCCTAGATAACAAACTGTCCTTCACTGCAAACATCGCTGCTACAACCCGCTGCTGCAGATACACGCTTTACAACATCAGGAAGATACGTCCCCAGCTGACCCAGAAAGCGACGCAGGTTCTGGTCCAGGCTCTCGTCATCTCACGCCTAGACTACTGCAACTCCCTCCTGGCTGGTCTACCTGCATGTGCCATCCGACCTCTGCAGCTCATCCAGAATGCAGAGGCTCGTCTGATCTTCAACCTTCCTAAATTCTCCCACACTACGCCGCTCCTCCGCTACCTTCACTGGCTTCCGATAACTGCTAGAATCCACTTCAAGACACTGGTACTTGTGTACCATGCTGTGATTTGATCTGGCCCTTCCTACATCCAGGACATGGTTAAACTGTACACCCCAGCACGTGCACTCCGCTCGGCATCAGCCAAACAGCTCGCTTTACCCGCACTGCGAGGGGGACCCAAGTTCCCATCAGCAAAAACACGTGGGTTTGTTATCCTGGCTCCAAAATGGTGGAATGAGCTCCCCATTGACATCAGGACAGCAGATAGCTTACACACCTTCCAGACTGAAAACTCATATCTTTCGACTCCACTTTGAGCGATAGCATTATTAACAAATTACTTATATACTAATAAAGGACTGGCTTATCTACAGCCAGTTGAGTAGCACTTGAAATGTTTTAGCTCTATGAAACCTGATGTACTTATATGATTCTGTTTTCTTCAAGCTTGTATTTTGTTGGTCGAACGCACTTATTGTAAAAGCGTCAGCTAAATGCAATGTAATGTAATTATGTGAAATATAAAAACCCTTAAATCAGACTTGAGTTACACCTGAGTAAAATTCAGGTAAGGTGATTGTCAAGTGCCAACAATCAGGAGAGATATTTGATAGTTGGTGCTTGAGAAGACTAAACATTTATCTGCAATTGACATGAATGGAAACAAGTAATAAAGTATATTCATTACTCGTTATTCTCTATTAATAGTTAATTAAAGACTGTATATTATGGCTATTTTGCACATCCTTTTCAAGATTTCAAGATTTTCAAAGGTCTATTGACATATCATATACACAACTATGGTGTAGTTATGCAATGAATGAAAAACTTGGGTCGCAGCTGAGGTTCCTCAACAGTGCATTACAAGACATCTATCAATATGTGGGTACATCCACCATTAAACTGTCATATTCTGCACCTTTCTTATACTATCTACATACATAAGCGTATAATTCATATGTATAATATCAGTTAAAATAAGTGCTTCAACATAGTTAACATTGAAGGAAAGCAATATATTAGACGTTAAGTACTTTGTCAGGCTTAATATTTATCTTTTGATACCCCCAAAGCTTTTTTCTTATTTAAAAGAAGACCTTAATCTAAAGTATTATTTAATGTTTAAATAAAGGTTAATTCGTTTGTATGTTTTGTACATCCTCCTATTAATATCTTTGTACATCCTGCACTAAACTGTTTTATTGTAGAGATCACTTATAGTATCTTCTTGATTTTTTATATTCTATATTTCTATCATTGACCTTCTACTTTCCCCCTATGAAAGTATGTACTCTTAATATTTTTTTCATCAAATATAACACATAAAAACAATAATTCAATAACGTGCTTTAAAAGAAAATAATACTTTATTTCGAGTGCTCTTGCTTTTCTCTTTGAAAGTCATCACATAACGGCATTGTAATACACGGTTTGGCTGCATTACATATTACAGATCTTCCGTAGTTCTTTATTTATAGAGCCCTGATGAGAAGACCTTTGGAAAAACTGGAAGAAATGCCGCCGAAACTGAATACGTGACGTGGATCATAAATATATCAACAATTAAACAACATCTTCAATTTCTCTTCACACAATACGTCTCCTTGCAGTATCAACACTAATTCGGCTGACTTTTACATTTGATCTAATTCGTAGATAGGTTATATTTACACCATAACGGTGCGCAGCTGATATAAAAGGACTTATTATATTACAGATATTACTGATTTTCTTTGAATATAAGAATGTAAATACTGAGTCTGAAATAATATAGCAATATGCTGTAAAATGATGTGAAAGCATGAATAAAACGACACATCTTCAGATGTTGAATAAGTGTCCTACACTAATGATACAAAGTTATTATGGCTGTGTCTACCTTGTGTGCACCGCCTAGTGGTTACAAAAAAAAGTTTTTCGGATTTGATATGGCATGAACACCATATCCCTACATGCATTGCGGCTAAAACATCCAATCAGCGAGCTTAAACCTTAGCTGAGGATCTTGGGTAATCAGTTCAGTGGCTTTGTATCGCAACGATGCTTCGTCTGTTTCCGGTTATTTTTATTTTGAAATTCAGTTCCTGACGGACGCCAAAAAAGACAGAGATTATGGAATCAAACAAATAAATAAAAACAAGGATAATTGTGTGTTATTAGTGAGTAAATAACAGTGTGTTATTTAGAAAAGAATAACAAATTAGAAGGAAAAAAAAGATTTAAAAAAATACAGATTTCAGTATTCTGAAGCTCTGAGCCCCATTTCTTTTCCCACAGCTTCCGGTCTTCCAAGACCCGAACGGGCAAAAAGACGTGCTGCAGGCACGAAACATACTACCAATATAAATACATTGCTTTTAAAATCGTTCTGTGTGACACGAAAAAAAAGGGGAAAATGGTGTTGGTGAACACGAATCAATAGATTAAATGTCGTGACTATAACACGAAATGCAGAGAGACTTGGTTGGAAAACCACCCTTGAATGATGGGATGGTAGACTAAAAGCTTTAGGAATCCAAACTACAACATATAATAAGTACCCTGTATCAAGATTGATGCAAAACAAGTGAAATATGACCTTTTTAGAGAGATTTAGCAAAACAAATCCACTTCTGGGGTCATTTGGGTGGATTTTCCATATCTCTGGCCGCCCTTGGTCGATTTTGATGATTGACATCTCTTTCTAACCGTCAGAGCCAATGGAATCGAGGGGAACTCCCACATACACACACACATGACCAAATAAGGATTGAGAGTGACGCATAGCCAAAACCGGAAGCTGTGATAACTCTGGTGGCTACCCTTAGCAGCTAACTTTTACTCTCCGATTTTTACAAAAAAATGGAATTATGGATTATAAATAATTTTTTCAAAACTACAGACACATTATCAACCTATGGATTAACCGATTCAGCCGCGTTTTTTCTCGTTTTAATGCCATTGAACACGTCTTTTGGTCAGATTGACAGCTACGATGAGACGATCTCCTGT